ATAACTTTATTAAGTTGCATGGGTAAATTATTCACATCCATCTTAGCTAAACGATTAAATAATTATGCTGAGCAATATGATATACTAAATGAAAATCAAGGGGGTTTCAGATCAAATTATTCTACAATAGATAACATTTTTACTTTACAATCGCTAATCGAATTATCCTTTTTATTGAAAAAGAAACTATATTGTGAATTTATAGATTTTAAGGCTGCTTTTGACAATGTATGGAGAATAGGACTATGGCAAAAACTCATTCAAAATAATATTACCGGAAAATGTTTTGAAGTTATAGTGAAAATGTACTCTGAAAGTAAATCCAGAATAGCTGTTAATGATATGGTTACTGAATATTTTCCATGCAAAATAGGGGTACGACAAGGGGAAAACTTATCGCCCTTTTTATTTGCTTTATTCCTGAATGATGTAGAATCTTTTTTAATTGCACATAACAATATTGGTGTCTCAACAATATCAAATGAGATTGAAAAAGAACTTGGTGTCTTGTTAAAAATGCTGATTATTTTGTATGCAGATGATACAGTTTTACTATCGGAATCACCCGAAGATTTACAGAATCAGTTGCACAGTTTTTTATTGTATTGTGAAAAATGGAAGCTAGAAGTTAATATAGAAAAAACAAAAATAATGATTTTTTCAAAGGGACGTATACCGCATAAAGTTTTTTATTACAATAACAAAGAAATTGAAATTGTTAAACATTTCAAATATCTAGGAATTATATTCTCAACAACAGGCTCATTTATTAAGACAAAACAATATGCTACTGAAAGAGCAACGAAAGCTATGTATGGTATTTTGAAAAAGGGTAACCAATTACATCTTTCTCTTTATGACCAATTGTATTTGTTCGACAAGATTGTAATTCCAATTTTATTGTATGGTTGTGAAGTGTGGGGTTATGGTAATGTTGAAATGATAGAAAGAGTACATTTAAAATTTTGTAAAATGCTTTTTCATTTAAAACCAAGTACTCCAAATTTTATGATCTATGGTGAATTAGGTAGAGTACCTTTAAGTATACATATCAAAACAAGAATTATTGCATATTGGTCAAAAATTTTATATGGAAAACAATCAAAATATTGTTTTTTAATGTATAAATTACTTCGTGCAAAATTTGATAATGGACATGAATCTAAATGGTTAAAGAATTTGAAATCAATTTTAGACAATTGTGGATATAGTAATATTTGGAACCAGAATCAATTATTTAATAGAAATTGGCTTATTAAAAGTTTGAAACAAAAATTACTAGATCAGTTTCAACAAAATTGGAATTCAACCTGTAAAGATTCTTCAAAAGGTGTGACATATAATCTATTTACAAATTTACACTTTGGATGTCAATTTTATGTAGATAGCAGGTTAAATAATTATAAGAAACAAATTTTAGCTAGATTTAGAACAGCAAACCATAAATTACCCATTGAAACAGGAAGATGGGAAGGTATTGAAAGAATTAATAGAATATGTCTTTTATGTAAAAATGATCTTGGTGATGAATTCCACTATATTTTATGTTGTGAAAAATTAAAAGATGAAAGAAAATTGTACATTCCGAAATATTATTTTACAAGACCAAATATTATCAAATTTAATGGATTGTTTTCTTCAAAAAATGTTGGACTATTGAGTAAACTCTGTTCTTTTATTAAAATTTTAAACGAGAGAGTCAAACCTCCAGGTTAACATCAATGTAAACATATATGGAAATACTTGATTATAAGCACACTTTGTATATATGTTATATGTTATGCTCACGCATGTATGTATAAATGTTATGATAATATGTATTGATCTCTGTGTTGTTAAATAACAACCAAAGAGATGTTAATAAACTGGTAAACTGGTTAGTGAAGCGAGTATGCGAGAGTATCTACATTATAGCATCTAATTTTAATTAGATTGCTATAAATTGCAATCCAGTGAGCAAATAATGCCCTAATTAAGTAAAACGTCAGTCTGCATTCGACTTGCTGAAACATTGCATTTGCTGACAATGTCACTGTATTGACGATAAAATGTGCACAATGTTGAGTCAATTTTTTGTTCAATCAACTTGTTCGTCAATAACTTGTTTTGTTTTAGCGGGGAGGCATATACTACATATGCAGGTGATCCATGTAAGTATATTTGTGCAAAAGTGGACGATAGAAAAATTGAAATAATTGCTTTTCTCATAAAGATTTGTTAACAAGTAAGGATAACAGACATAAGTACTGCGATCGATAGTGTAGCTCACCCGCCTACCTCTAAAACAATTTTCAAAAGTTAACATAATCGAATCTTTTTCCCATAATTTTATAGATATTTATAAATATGGATTTTTATAAAACATTACTTTTTTGGGAAAACAAAGAAAGATAAATCTATAATTTTGGTAAAACACGTTTTTCACTATAGAAAGCAACAGAAAACGGAAAATATATCACCCCCCCCCCCCCTTGAAACAAAAGTACCTTTTACAGGTAATAGTCAATGAACAGTGGTTACTTCCATTCTTTAATATGTCGGTGCGATTTATCTCGGTGAGTTTGTTATAAAAGGTAGGTGGTCACAGATATGAGACCTCCGTTTTCAATTTGAGTATTTTCCTTGAAAAAATACATTGATTGAAATATAACAATATATAGGCAATTTTTGTCATGTTTCCCTACTTTTGATTTGAAAAAAGAAACGGTCTATATAGATCCAGATTTTATTTAGGGAATTTTTTAAATTAAATTCTTCTTCAGAAAACGCTTTGTTTCTCCTTCTATAATCCCTCTAATGAATTACATGTATTTCAAGCAATTTTGTATCCCTTTCAAGCGAGAAGTGGTTTCCTGTATGTAGGTTTACGATTCACGCCTGCACTTGCTCTATATATTTTTTTCTTGTTTTTCATTTATCTACTTTATTTCTTTATTATTAATGATTCCTTAATTTTAACTAATAATAGTTTATTATACTTATTGAGAATCCAGCTCATACTCTGAAAAATCAAACGTTACAATTAATGGTAAACTTCATCAGGGTCCGTCAGCTAACATCCGCGACTGTACTCTTCAATGCTGGTACCGGACAACCATAACTGTACCTGCTCACTGTGAACTTACCTTGAGTTGTGTTATCGGATTCTGCTAGGAGTGTCATGGATGACAACAGTCTTTTGTTTTCTAGAATCATATCATATAATTGCACATACTTCTTCTCAAGATGAAAGCATATGATGATAATACATGATATCAAAGCGGGTATAAAGAATTCTTTCAGTCTGATCAATACTTCCATCTTGTTTCAAAACGAAAGTAGATTTTTTTCCCTACTTTGCTATGAATAAATATATCCGACATTTATAAATATGTCCAAATAAGGTAATTTTGATTACCTTAAAAAATTAAATATGATAATCATTTATTGATGTAAATAAATTTGTAAGAAATTAGAATATAAGGTACTTTCGATGATATTGTATTATAAATATTTAAATTTAGCCTAATGGTCTTTCAGCAGTGCACGAGTAACGAAGTAGACAAAACCATAGGGGCTTGTCTTCCGGATTGTTAAATATAAAATAAATTTTAAAAATTTTGAATCTTCTTTCAATACACTTAAAAGTTGTTAAAATAAAGATTCTGACACTTTCAGGCAAGAAAAACCACGTTTAAAAAAGACGTACCACACCTATATACATAAACTCTATAAGGGACGCAAGCTCCCATCTTGGAAAAAATACCCCCGCCCACTTCAGCGCCTACTTCTGGACTCTTAACCATTAATTCATTTCGGTATCATGGCTCTGTCCCCTACAGTGATGATTTTCCTAAATGTTGATGCGATTGTCAGTCGTGAACACGCGTTTAATCAACAGTAAACGGATACAATTTCTTCGATTTGAGCTCATCTCGCTGAATCGATCCAAAAAGAACGGAAGTTGACAAAATTTCAAGGGCAGATAATGATCGTATAGGGAAAACTCAGAGGGTAATCGAAAGCGAATGGTAACACCCAAGGATTTCCAGCTTTGCGGGGAAAAATGTTTACCGACAAGAAAAAGACAGTGAAAAATGATAAATACGGGCTAAAGTTTGGTTTCACAGGCTAAATTGTCATTGGGAAGACTCATTTGATATATAAGTAATTTGTTACATAATTTAAAAGCGCGCTATACGCTATACAACGATTATCGCCCTTGCGTCGTTACCATGCAACCATGTCAACTTCCGTTCTTTTTGGGTCGATTCAGCGAGATGAGCTCAAATTGAAGAAACTGTATCCGTTTACTGTTGATTAAACGCGTGTTCACGATTGACAATCGCATCAACATTTAGGAAAATCATCACTGTAGGGGACAGAGCCATGATACCGAAATAAATTAATGGTTAAGAGTCCAGAAATAGGCGCTGAAGTGGGCGGGGGTATTTTTTCCAAGATGGGAGCTTGCGTCCCTTATAGAGTTTATGTATATAGGTGTGGTACGTCTTTTTTAAACGTGGTTTTTCTTGCCTGAAAGTGTCAGAATCTTTATTTTAACAACTTTTAAGTGTATTTAAAGAAATTAAGATTCAAAATTTTTAAAATTTATTTTACATTTAACAATCCGGAAGACAAGCCCCTATGGACAAAACAGGCATTTTATAACCAGGTCTAATTAATAAAATAAACAAATGAAAAAATAATTGAAATTATAAATTCTGTAAATTTTATCGCACATCACCAGAGTAAACCCGACAGACGTATTTCATATAGCGATCCAGAATTCTTTATTTTACTATTGGTCATAAACATTCAAATTAAACATGTAACATTGTAAACATATAGTGTTTGGAAGTTGTCTTAGTGTTATTTTTTGTTTCTCTATTTTCTTTCCTTTTATGACTTCATTTAACTTTTTTGTCGGGAGGAAGGAACAGGGCGTCCCGAAAAATTGCAATTTTTATTTTGTCGTGTCGTTGATCATTTTTTGCAGCTCGGAGGACCTGCTCATATATGCTATTTATGTTCATAAATAATTTTATGCCCATTTCTTGTGTATTGAAAGTGGGACAAGCGAGATAACTCTAATACTTTTGTTCGGTCTTGTTTTTGGAACAGCCTCAGTATATGATTGAGTACAATCAGTGGCAGCGCCATATTTGTATGGAAATACAATTTTATTTTTGAACAAGCAAGTTGGCTTACAGCGTGTCCAGTGCACAGTTAATACATTTGATGGACTTCTCGTGGTGTGATCTTTTGGATTTCCAAGGAATTCAGCACATTTGTAAGTGTTAAAAGACGAGACTTGAAATTCGGTCCTGGCACACGTGGAAGGCCTACGTGCGTTCCGATTTTTCATCATTCGTAACCTGTGTTGTCCCAACGATCATTGTTTTGTACTGTGTTCTTCCTTCATCAAGATGTCTGTATTAATATTTGGTGACTCACACATTCGACGCTTATATCATTATGCGAGGAATCAGAGACAACTTTGAAACAATTATATTTAATGTACAAAATGTAGCGATCTCGGTCATTGGGATTAGTGGGGACAGAATAGGTCGAAGTATGGACATTAGAGTGCTAGAAGAGGAGATTCAAAGGAACCAACCACAGAAGCTAACTTTACATATTGCGGGAAACGATAGGCCTATCGATCAGCCGCAGGCTGATGAGGATTCGGTTAGGGAGATTGTGTCAAAAATAATGGCAACATGTGACTTGTTTTTAAACCGGTATCATTTAAATAAGATATATGTGTGTCAGTCGTTACCAAGATATTCCACCAGACACTGCCGAGTTGTTTTAACGTTATATAATAAGTAAATAGTCTTGGCAAATCAACTTTTAAAAGAAGAAGTTAAAAACAGAAGGCAGGTTGTGTACTGGAAGTTAAAAGGCTTGAAGAACTCTGTAGTGAATAACTTTTGTGATTAGGGCAATCAGGGGTGCTGTGATACATAGTACAAGTGATAGCTAGATAAATAGTTTGTATGTCATTTAGCCATATAACAATTATGGTTAATTTGCATCTTAAGTTTATGAAACAGGCAATACATCTATATGTACCTTAGCCTTAGTACCCTAGTGACTTAGAACATCTTACAAAACGGGTATTAATGATTTAAAAAAAAAAAAGAAGCTTATTATGCATATATGACACAATGTTATACGTTCAGCAGTTTTCTGTTTAATCACATATTAGATGCATTGTAGAGAGCCAGTCCAAGAGTGGGAAATACAGAAAGGGACCCTTGTGATCAAGCATTTATTTTTACTTAGAACAGTAAGTCTGGAAACTTTTTCTACTGCATGAGCTGCAGAAGAGCCTGTGATAATTTGCCACATGTTCAAGTATGAGTGGTAATTTTGCCACATTACTGAACAATTAGTGGTATTTTAATGTATTACTGAATCTTGATAATTTTATCAAGTTACAAATGCGATAATTCTATCGCTATGCTTTAAAATAAGTGATAATTTTATCACGTCTTGATCAGTGCTGAATCTTGATAATTCTATCAAGTTATAAATGCGATAATTCTATTGCAATTAGTGATAATTTTATCACGTCTTCAATAGTGCTGAATCTTGATAATTCTATCAAGTTACAAATGCGATAATTCTATCGCTATGCTTTACAATTAGTGATAATTTTATCACGTCTTGATCAGTGCTGAATCTTGATAATTCTATCAAGTTATAAATGCGATAACTCTATCGCAATTAGTGATAATTTTATCACGTCTTCAATAGTGCTGAATCTTGATAATTCTATCAAGTTACAAATGCGATAATTCTATCGCTATGCTTTACAATTAGTGATAATTTTATCACGTCTTGATCAGTGCTGAATCTTGATAATTCTATCAAGTTATAAATGCGATAATTCTATCGCTATGCTTCACTAGGGATAGTGAATTAATTAGTGATATTGCAATGGTTTCTTGATACATTGTGTAGCTATATTTCACTAGTGCACTGTAATTATACAGATTGTTTTAAGATTTAAACAATAATTGGTATAAAGAACTACCCTAGAGTCAGGTCTAATGGGTAATTTTATCCTATTGCCTGATATGGACTAATATTTGGATGAGTAAATCAACAATAATTTTGCCACATTAATCAAAAGCTGATAATTTTATCAGTCATAGATAGGTTGAATTCTTGACATGATTTGTATAAATTAGGCATACATGCTAACATCCATTTACAGAGATGAGTACCGGTAATAGGCCTACAGACTATGGGGTGGTTACAAAGCCAGTTAATTTACAACAAGAGGAAGTCGCAAGTGACACTCCAACAAGCAACAATCATTCAAGCCAATTAGAAGATGGCAATTTTACCAAGTAATTCAGGTACTAATTAACAAACAGCATCTAAGGAGTTATCGCTTAGCGCAGGGGTTAAGAATCCCAGTATCATTAAGCCATTGGGTCTCGGTGTAGATTCTAAGATAAAAAGCAAAATCTGGGGAAATGAATTTGTTGATTTGGAAATTTGTTAGGAATCAAAAATAAGAATAATTATAAAGGCTTTGAAATCAGTGAAATCTTAGAAGGGGAGTGTGAAATAAAGCCCAAAAAGCAAACATTAAATTCAGAAATCCATAGTGAGGCATTGGCTATCAGTTTGGGTAAATCCAAAGTAGGTCTAAATTCTGGGTTTCTGGTATTCATAATCAATTCAAATCTGTTCAATATCAGGAGGTAGAAGATGCAGTAGGTTGAATGCGCATATATGAGAAAAATTGCGGGTTGTTTAAATTGGATATTCAGAATGCATATAAAATTGTTCCAATACATTGTTCAGATTGGGAATTGTTGGGTTTTACTTTAGAAAATGAATACTATTTTGACAAAACTCTCCCTATGTGACTTAATTTTTCTTGTCAGTTATTTGAAGAATTCAGTACTGCAGTACATTGGGTATGTGAAAACAAGTTAGGCTTACATGGGAGACTAGTTCATGTTTTTGTTCAAGGATATTGGTATTCCAATTAAGGAGTTAAAAACTGTCCTTCCCTGTGCTTCGCTTATATGTTTGGGTATTGAGTTGGATTCTATTTTGATGGAGTCATGTTTAGCACAAGACAAGTTAACTAAAGCTAGACACCTAATACAAATTCACAAGTCTAAAAAATCTATAACATTACTAGAGTTACAGTCTGTAATAGGTCTGTTAAACTTCGCCTGTTCAGTGGTCATTCCAGGACGCCCATTTCCTAGGCGGCTAATTGATCTGTTAATTGAGTTAACTCAACCTTTTCATCATAGGAGATTGAATAAGGAAGCTCGAGCGGATTTAAATGCTTGGGGATTGTTTTTGGAGCATTTCAATGGCAAGTCACTGTTTTCATCAGAGCAATGAGACAATTCTGACTCATTACAATTGTATATGGATACAAGTAACATTGGTTTCTGTGGTTATTTACGAAATCAGTATTTTAGTGGTATATGGCCTAAAACCTGGAAAACCTATCATATTACAATAAAAGGAGTTATTTCCCAGTGTACTTGCAGTTCAGCTTTGGGCAGATCAGTTTGAAAATTAATGTGTTATTATTAAAATTTTTTTCACGGATAATGATGCTGTTGTGCACATCATCAACAAACAAACCTAAAGTAAAGACAAATGGTTCTTGTTTGTCGTTTAGTAGTGCAATATTTTAAACACAATATTTTATTTCAAGGAAGACATGTATCGGGTTTAGATAATGTTTTAGCTGATCATCTTTCTCGCCAGCAGATTCCACAGTCCCTACAAAAAATTTCCTACAACAACCCTGTAGCATGCCATAACAACGAGGACAATCTCAAAGTTTAGAATCAATAGCTTCAGATCTAATAAATCAGTCATTAGCAGCATCAACTCATAATACTTATCAAAGGGCAATTGAATATTGCCATTGTTTGGTGTCATCATTTTGCTTTGCCAAGGAAAGGTGTACCAGCAAAAGCAGAAGCTTAAGATATCATTTTGTTTATAGCTTATTGTTACTGGCAACCTATGTTTCAGCATTAAGTATTCAACATAAGATAAGGAATATGAAAGGCCCAACTTTTAGTGAAAAAATGTTTACAAGGTTACAAGAATAAGACAAGCTTAGTGGACCCTAGGTTACCTATAACACCAATCATTCTTAAACAGCTGATAGCTTCTTTACAATATACAACAAGTTTATATTTTGTACAGGTACTTATGAAAAGTGTGTATTTAGTGGCATTTCACTGTTTTCTTAGGATTGTAATTTACAGCTTCAAAAGACAGAAATTGTCATTTATTGACAATACAATCTGTACATTTTTTAGAAAATACTTCAGACTGCCCAGTAGGGTTGGAGTTGACTATGAAAACTTTCAAACATGGTAAAGGTCAATCTTACACTGTGCATGTGAAAAATGACAGCAAAGATAACACAATATGTCCTGTTCAGGCCCTATGGACATATTTTCAATTACGAAAACCAACTTCTGGTCCTCTTTTTACTTTCATGGATGGGTCACCGGTGTCACGGAAATATTGTACAGATCAGTTATGTTTGCCATTAAATTGGTGTGGGTTAGATTGTAAATGATATAAAGGTCACAGCTTTAGAATCAGAGCAGCAACAACGGCTTTTTCCAGTGGAGTTCTAGAGCAAAAAATTAAATCAATGGGGCGGTGGTCATTAGACGCTTTCAAAAAGTACATTCGAATCCCCTTTGTAAACCTTTGACTGCTCACGAGGTGAGGTTGAGGTAAAGAGTTATGACCATGGTGACAAGAGCATCTGGTCAGATTATAATTCATGACATTTCAAATCTACTCTGAGTTGAGTTCCTATAAAATAGTGAGTAATTTGTTAACTTGTTTGGTTGATTGCAATCAAGTGTTTTAATTACTGGTGTCACAAAATTATACCCAATCATGGTGACAAGAGCATCTGGTCAGATTATATTTCATGACATTTCAAATCTACTTTGAGTTGAGGTTGAGGTAATGAGTTATGAATGGTGACAAGAGCATGACATTTCAAATCTACTCTGAGTTGAGTTCCTATAAAATAGTGAGTAATTTGTTAACTTGTTTGGTTGATTGCAATCAAGTGTTTTAATTACTAGTGTCACAAAATTATACCCAATCATGGTGACAAGAGCATCTGGTCAGATTATATTTCATGACATTTCAAATCTACTTTGAGTTGAGTTCCTATAAAATAGTGAGTAATTTGTTAACTTGTTTGGTTGATTGCAATCAAGTGTTTTAATTACTGGTGTCACAAAATTATACCCAATCATGGTGACAAGAGCATCTGGTCAGATTATAATTCATGACATTTCAAATCTACTTTGAGTTGAGTTCCTATAAAATAGTGAGTAATTTATTTGGTTGATGTCAATCAAGTGTGTTAATTACTGGTGTCACAAATTATACCCAATCATGGTGACAAGAGCATCTGATTGTAAAATAAATATCAAACCAGTAATAGAGAATATGAGGGTTTGGACAATTGTCAAAATATGTGAACAAGTGTGACACATTATCTGTTTCAGGAAAGAGGACATTGGCTTAGAAAAACAGTTTCAACCATGATGACAGGAGCATCTGGTTGTATCAAGTAGTAAAGTTTTGATGTAATTATGCATCTACAAGTGTGACACATTATCTGTTTCAGGAAAGAGGACATTGGCTTAGAAAAACATTTTCAACCATGATGACAGGAGCATCTGGTTGTATCAAGAAGTAGTAAAGTTTTGACGTAATTATGCATCTAACAAAGTTTGTGTACAATGCATAATAATATGGTATTGTTTACAAGAGTTGAAATACTTTCTTTGTATGTTGGTAATGTGTTATTTTTCATTGTTTGTATCCGGTTTGTATGAATTTTAGGGATACTTCTATTGTAGTAAGATTAAGACTCGCACTAGGGTTGGGTGGGGATTACTGCTGATGACAGTTCAGATCTGCCTGTCATTGGCAGTAAGTGGCATTTTTACCTTACCCCACCTTTGATGTAAAAATTTTATACAGTAATGTTTTGATCTATTTCGAAGTTGCATGTAGTGATATTGGTATCACTGCAAGGTTTATAAATGTAAATCTATCAAACTACATTTTCATTTTTGTAATAGTTTTACAAAATTGTCATTTGGTAATAAATGACCTTTTTCAACTTCAAACGGTGTTGTGTTGGTATCAGATAGTATAATATTACATCAAACAGAGCAACCTTTAGTGCGAGTATCAGGAAGATGGGCATAAATGCTATTTATGTTCATAAATAATTTTATGCCCATTTCTTGTGTATTGAAAGTGGGACAAGCGAGATAACTCTAATACTTTTGTTCGGTCTTGTTTTTGGAACAGCCTCAGTATATGATTGAGTACAATCAGTGGCAGCGCCATATTTGTATGGAAATACAATTTTATTTTTGAACAACCCTCCCACCTCTCCCTAATAGTTAAAAAATTATAGTGTTCTTAATTGATGTGAATAATTTGACAATATTTTTCCATATTTCTTTTTTCAGTAGGTAAGGCATTTTTACCTTACCCCACCTTTGATGTAAAAATTTTATACAGTAATGTTTTGATCTATTTCGAAGTTGCATGTAGTGATATTGGTATCACTGCAAGGTTTATAAATGTAAATCTATCAAACTACATTTTCATTTTTGTAATAGTTTTACAAAATTGTCATTTGGTAATAAATGACCTTTTTCAACTTCAAACGGTGTTGTGTTGGTATCAGATAGTATAACATTACATCAAACAGAGCAACCTTTAGTGCGAGTATCAGGAAGATGGGCATAAATATGTTTTATCTTTGGTGTATGGGATTGAGATGAATGAAGTTATTCAGAATTAAAGATAACTATACAATAAAAAGATAATACATCAGAATGTTCTTTCACTTTAAAAAATGCGAGAAATAATCTTTTTACTTCCAAAAAGTGCATCTTGAAATATATGTTAATCATATCTTGAAATATATGTTAATCATATTTCATTTAATTAAAATTGTTAATCATTTACTATGAAAAAAAAAAGATAGGTCCCTTTTATTAAAATATTTATCTCATAAAAACTTATGTTACACAGTTGTGTTTTATATTAATTATGTCAAACAAATTTTTGAAAATAGGTGATGCATGTGTCTGATTGTTAGTCAAATACTGATTGATTTTTTTTCCTACGAATTGTTAAGTCATAATTTACACACTGAATTGTCGAAGTATTTTCCGCGATGTCCCGCTCATGACAAGGAGCACAAGGCGGGTGTGACCGGTCGGCAGGGGATGCTCACTCCTCCATGGCACCTGATCCCACCTATGATATTTTATAGGTCTGTGATTGCTCTGATCCTTTTTATTGTTTGAAGGACTTTCAGCTTGAATACCGTTTCTTTTCTCCATATATTTCATCAATCACTTTTCGTTATCTTTTTTCTTTTTTCAGAGCACATCAGGCCTTGAGACCTTAAACTAAGAACAGACTTTTACTATTATTGGACTTTTACGAGAAGCGCTGACTTCTACAGTTGACAGTTTACTTGGACATTTAAACTTTTATCATGTACGGAAGTACAGAATTGATATTGCATAAGAAAACCTTCATAGTGGTCATAGGTATGGTGTTAGGGACACTAACATGTGAAGACCGGGAGTTGAGGCAAGGGAAGTTATCGTTTTCTTCAAGGACAACTTAATTGTGCATTGAAATAACCCGTTATTTTCGTTTACTTAAATGTTGAGCTAAATATTTATATCATAAAAGAGCTAGCGTACATACATGTAGCTCTAGTGTAAAAGTAATCATCAACTGTAAAAGTCAGCGCTCCTCGTAAAAGTCCATTATTATATATTTACTGAATAACGCTTATCTACCAAGGTACTATTTCATTTTATTTAATGACTGCACGACATTAACAAAGCAAACTTAAAATTCTCTTTGAAAAATAAACACTATTTTTAAATGCCACACTTTTTATTTCAACATCTTGTACTCTCACAGATGTAGCCCATTCTCTGGGTCCCAAAGGGAGAAACGTAGCCCCACTGGTAACCTCTCTTCATTATGAAAGCGTAGTTTGTGACATCCTGGGAACGAGCCATAAAAGCGTTGTCTGACCCGGGGAAATTCTGGTAGGTCATTCTGGACCCGTCGGTCCACCTCCATTGCCCTCTACGGTATTCCCCTCCGATGAACCATCCATCGGCATTATACCCAGCTGTTAGAACATGTGTACTCACGTTATGATTTTTGAAACAGGATTATTATAAATAAAATCTTCCTTATTTAAATGACGTTTATAATGTTATAAAGGAAATCTTTTAATGTACTTAATGTTTAGAACTATTGTTATAATTAAAAGTAAATCTTCTTAATTTACCTAATAAATATAATTGATAGAAAGTAAATATTCATACTTTTTATTGTGGTTTCAAATACCTTTTTTTTAAACTTAATTAAGAGATAATATTCATACCACAGTGTGGCATACTGTATAGCAGGTTTCTTTATCAGGTATAAAATTTAACATTTTGCTTGATCAAAGATTTGCTAATAATTTTAACGGACACAAAGTTCCGTGACATTGCAATAGAAAGGAAATTCATCTCTTAGATACGTTTCAGTATGTTCAAGATAAATTTGAATACAGATTTAAACAAACCTTTCGAATAAATATAATTTTATACCAGATGAAATTTTGTTGTGTATACAACAAAATAATTCAAGTAATTCAAAGTGATTTGTCTTGTATGTGGAAGTGATAATGCAGAGTGACAATTTGGCGGTTTAAAGATAAGCAGCTTACTACAAAATTGCTATAAATAAGCCAAAGATTTCGCCACACTAAATAAAAATCCGCAGTAAGGTTTTACTTAATTCTATGACAAAATATGGAAATATGTGCTTTTGATATTTTGGACAATCAAAATGTCTTATTACTCAGTGTTTTTTTTTTCCGTTCTTGTTCAGGTATTTCAAATATCAATGAGAGAAATTCATCATCAGTTTTGTCATTTGAGGAATTTGTCATAATTTGAATAAGAAAAGAATCGCTTACGATTTTCTCTTTGCAGGAACTTTTGAAGAAAGACATCTTCCTCAAAATGGTCAATTTTCAAGAGGGACATCCGCTTTCTTTCACAAGCTCTCTTTGCATCCTTCCAACTCCGGATCCTTGAATTTTGTGGGTTAATGTCGTATGTTTGACAATGTCGACGAGCAGAGACTGCCTCTATCATTTTAATCATGTCATAATTTTTTTGAAATATGATTTACTCAATTCATTGTTCTCAGATATATATGAGCAAAGATTTTTTTTAAATTTAATGATAAATAATATTTCAAACACTGTATAAATTATTATGTAAAATGAAAAAATGAATCTAAGAATAAACAGATCCTGCATTTCAATCTTTTTCCTCTTAACATAAATATTTAATTTTATGACATATGAGTAAAAAAATCAAAATGTGTTAATAAAAAAGTAAACAAACCTAAGATGAGGAACACAAGAGCAAATGAGAACAAAATCAAATGGTTCTTCATCTAGAATAAATAATTAAACATAATAACCTTCATTGTTAAAGTGTAGTACCGGTATATATGTTCAATTCATGTCAATGTATATTACATTTTAAAAGTATTTCATTTCTCAGATTGTTAGTATTTTCACGCTTTTATTCTTTTTTCGGAAGAACGATTAGTAAGTACATGTATATCTACATTTTATCAGATATATCAAATGTAATGAATATATTAAAATTTATATAATTATACTAAGTAAAGATTTGATTTATTCAAGTGTTTACAAAATAGACTCTCAGTTGTTTCTTCAGATAATAAAACTTTGGTGGAAAAACTTATGCATATGTTTTTAAAGCACAAGTCATTGCATTCCCTTTTTTCTAATGTAGTACACTTATAAGAGAAATCCTTAATTCAGAGTATTCTCATATTCTATCTTCTAAACAAGTTTCTTGTGCATTTTATCAGAATATTTCATTATAAGGAGAGAAACTGCTTTAAAGTTGTGTACTCTTGTGAAATGGTCCCACAGTATAATGCATTTTCACCAAAAAAAAAAACATACAAGAACATTACTTTTTAAACGCTAAAAAAAGGTCAATATCCTCCCCGCATTCTATTTTCAAATTATTCTTACACCATTATACTTACAATTGGCCGAATCACAGCACACTATGTCGAGGAAAACTTAATTTTGGTCTTTTATGCATAATCGGCCAAATGTTGCCTTTTAATTAATCACATCCTCGTCATCTGATAGATAATTATCATTAGCATTTAATAAATAAAGGGGACATTGGTCAGTATCTCATTGGTTTATGAGTTGAACATATTGGAACAAGGCATTAAAACCAGCTGGCCAGTTTATAAATATCTCTTATTCAAAGTACATCATGTAACATATTACAATTATATCATTTCCAAAGATCCTTGAGAATAAATAAAATACAATGTATATATCAGTAATTCATGTTTAATTTATAATTAATGTTTTATATGTTTTATATAATCAAATATTATACTTTATGGAATACAGTGAATGACAAATATGTGGTCATAAGAAACCATATCAGTTGATAATGACAGAAGACAAAGTACATGTAAAAGGAATAAAATCACTCAATCACTCAAAATGAATGCTGATGTTCAAAATTATATAATATCAGTATAATATCATGTCACTCAAATTATAGTATCTCTTACAGACCATTAAAACTAGTATGGTCGTTCCAGATAATTATCAAGGAATATATGACATATTTGAAAAAAAATTATTTTAAAATATTTCATAAACTCCTTGACCAAAAGTTTTAATTGTTAAGAAATTATATTTTTGGTCCTTTTACCAAAATAATGTGTGATAGGGTCAAATTGTCACATGCATGCAGATTCAGCATTCAAATATCGGTGGTCGTCGCACCACGACTTTGTTGACTTTATAAAATTAAATACCATTTCAACGTCTTTTTTTACTTCCATGTTAAACTGAAATTTAGTGAGACAAAATATACAACAAAAAACTCTATGAAGTGTATTATCTAGGACTGAAAAACTAAGGATATTTATGAAACAATGAATAGTCAAATGTTTAATTTTATATCACGTTGGATAAATATTGAAAAATTAGAAGGCATTCAGGAGAGAAAAAGATCTGTCAGGGCTGAGAAAGAACCTCCATTTTCCAGCAATTGGAGCTAATATTCACCCTTCTTTTTTTCTGTAAATGTTAGTTAACTAGGCCTATGGCTCTTTTCTCGTAACATACAGTGTAAGATAGTAGAGTATAATGTCAAATTCAATTAGAATATATTTGTTAATAGTCTAATTCAGAATTGTTTTTGTAAAAAATTAATGATTAATTGGAACAGTATTATAAACTGTTTGCATCCTTGTGAGACAACTCTTGAATAAAAGTCTTGATAAAAGATAGAGTGTCTTTCCTCATCTATAATCCTCTGCATTATTTCAACAGAGAAATGGTTAAAAACTACCTCCTGGAAATAAAATTACAAACATATTTTCTTTTTACAAATATTTTGCCTACTTCATGTACTTCAGGTAATTAATTTGCCATAATTACAAGAAAAACAGCTGTTACAAAAATCGTTAATTATACAGATGTTATCTTTTATCTGTTTACCTTCGTTGGTCCATAGCAGTTGTAAATCAGATTTTCTTTACATTTAACTACTTC